TCACTGATGTGACGCCGTGTAGACCGGTTCTGCTGCATTGCTGGTGGTTTATTATTCCTCGAGACCCTGAAGATGGAGACAGTAGGTTCATTCGAAATATCACTGAATTTCTACCGGTGTACACGGCGTCACATCTCAGAAGTCAGGGTTTTCAATCCCTGACTTGTCACTCGTAGGGCCTACACCGTAAATAGCCACACGTACAAACATAACAGCATAAACCCGGGAACGGGACAGGCCTTGGAACAGACTGGTCTGTCGCGGCAGCCAAGAAGAAGAAGAAGAAGAAGAAGAGATAGTCATAATTAGTAATAATTAGTTTTGTACAAGATATTTGTACTGCACACTTGACGCTGTGGCTTACATCAAGATCAGGGGTGGGTAAACTTCAGCTACACAGACGGATAAGGGGTTGCAAGTGCTTCTTTTTCGGGCCAGAATGATGTGACTCCTTCATAAGCTGAAACGTATAATTTCTATACTGGACGCCACTAATCACCGCATTAGTGCTGCTTACAGATACTGCCAACTTCTTGGATTCCACTTTAAGTAAAATGTCGAAATAAATGTAAAAATAATATTATGCAGAAATTTTCACAATAGGTTCGCGGACCGCAGTTTGCCCACTCCTGACCTAGACTATACACATACGAATAGTGGGATGATTAAGTGGAATGGATCTGGAAGGAAGCGGTCGTGGCCTACTCGAGACATTATCCCGGAACATGTCTGCACGGACTGAGGAAAAGGAAGGAAAGCCTCAGCCATGACTCGCAGTGCCAGTTCCTGTACCTCGGTCCGAGAGCAGACTCCTAGGGACCAACACTTGTGGGTTCGAGTCCCGTTTTTGTTATGATGAGACCCGGAGAAAGTGCGACGGAGAAAGTGGAGAGCCTAACTGTACCGACCGGCACTTCAACCACTTTTACCTGCGGCCCAGTCTGGGGTAACGGTCAGCAGTTGGAATCCAGAAGGTTCTCAGGGTGTGAAAGCTACGCTGACTGCCCCCACTTGTCTCGAGGGACTGACTGAAAAAAAGTCACGATAATCAGTGTCCTGGCCGAGAATCGAAACGAGCGTCTCTAGAACAGACTGTTACTTTCCCCTTTCTGTAAGGTCAGCAGGGTCACCACTGTGTACTGAAACGTAACTCGGACCTTGATGACACAAGGCCCCATGACGCATGCTCAGTCAGCACGCGCATTCAAATCGCCTCGCTTCTGGCTCTCTGCCCTCCACCGGCGCGTGACCCACACTGCGCCGCATATCAAGGGCTACCGGCTGTACGGCCGAAGAATCGGTGTTCGATTTCCGGCAGGGGCATGGGCAGGAGATTTTTCGCTTCCACGCCGGCTCTAGGGTCCACCCAACATCCTACACAGTGACTAGCGGGTAAAGCGGCCGAAGCTGGCGCCGAGGTTAAGCGAACGTGCAGCGATGTCTCCACCCCCCACTATAAGCCATCAGGGCGCGGTGTTTCATAAATTTATTAAATACAGGGTCAAGTTTACCTTCTACCAATGGAAAGGTTAACACAAACCAATGGGAACCTTTGTACTCGGGGTTCGAACCGAATAGTCTCGAATAAAGCTGTATCTCAGCTTTGATTTACATTTATTTAAAGTGAAGTAAAGGTATCCCTGTAACAGGCCGTGGAGGCCCATAGGGTTGCGAGACGTCGAGGCTCCCACATTTTCTAGACAATCGGCTCACAGATGGCGTTGAGGTTGTCAGTCTTAAGCGCCGGCCGCTCTTAACCCCAGGAAGATTCCTGGTACTCATTCCTGTTAGAGGCTGGGTCGATTCCAGGGCCATAGTGCGGCTGGAAGGATTAGGTCGATTGAAAAATCCAATGACCTCATCGGGAATCGAACCTGCAACCTTGAGGCTTGTAGCATAGTTTAACAGATATAACTGTACCACTGATCAGGTTGGCGCAGTATATCGTGGTTGTCCCTCCAGGCATGTGCCGCGATAGTACCTCGATCAGCCACGACCACTTCGTTCCGAATTCATCACCCCTCAGTCAGACCATATAGTCCAGCTATTGGCCACAAAGGGACAGCACTGCGCATGTCAGAGAGTGCTCTTCTCTGTATTCATTTGTTGGATTGCGGTTTGTGTAACGACGCTGTCAGTAGCTCCGGCTGTATTTGCCTGTGAATAATGAATTGGAAAGGATATGGAAGGAGGCGAGGCAGGTTCCCGGCGCTTGTCTACAGCGACTGAGAGGGACGAAAACTTTCAGTGAGGATGTTGCGGTCTCTCGACCGAGATTCAAACACAGGAACTTCCAATTTCCAGAGGACTGGGTGCAGAGATCGAGGCCAGTTCCGGGCCTCCTCCCTTACACCTGCTGATGGAAATAGTCGGACAAGAACACTCGAGACGACGACTGTCACGTTTATGTGCTCATTAGCATCATTCTTTCCGCTTACAGGCAGACCGATTTCTAAACGGAACAAAAAGCTTCAAGTGCCCGGTTAGCCTCCATTTTTTGCCGTTTCTCCGTTCGCTGCGGCAACAAAAAGCAGCGAGCGCGGAGATTGGAGGAAAGTGGAGCAGAAGGCCTCAGAGTGGTCCGCTCGCTTTGCTCTGTCCTCTAAGTCACGCAATGGCCAGAAAAAAGAAAGGCTGGGCGCACTGTGTCCATATGTTTCGTAAAGGTCTCTGACATGATTAGTGTGCACCAGAGAGGTGATTGGCAACAATTTCCAACGTACGTGCCAGTTAAGCAAAGCAACAGACAGTAAAGTAAGTAAAAAGTAAAGCTATCCCTGTAATAGGCCGTGGAGGCCCATAGTTGTGAGACGTTGAGGTTTTAGACAATCGGCTCATAGATGGTGGTAAGGTTGTCAGCCCTACGCGCCGGCCGCCCTTTAACCACGGGAATATTCCTGGTACTCATTTCTGTTAGAGGCTCAGTCGACCCCAGGGCCATAGTGCGGCTGGAAGGATTAGGTAAATTGAAAATAATCCACCTCATCGGGATTCGATTCCGCGACCTTCCGGCTTGTAACATAGTGCCTCAACCAACTATGCTACCGAGTGTCCCAAGCAACGGACAGTAGCAATAATAATTTGCTTCCTTCACATTTACTCCGCTAAACGTTTTGATCTCTGCTTGCAGTTTTGTACGGGTGCGAAACTCGGCCTCTCACATTGAGGGAGGGACATTGACTGAGGATGTTTGAAAACAGGGCGCTGAGGAGAATATTAAGGCCGAAAAGGGATGGAGGTTGGAGAAAACTGCATAAAAAGGAGCTTCATAACCTGTGCTCTTCTCCAAGTGTAATCAGAATCGAGTACAAGATGAGATGGGCAGGACATGCAACAGGCATTGGGGCGAAGAGGAACGCATAACAGGATTTTGATGGTAAAGCCAGAAGGAAAGACACCCCTACGAAGACGTAAACGTAGGTGGGAGGATAATATTAGAATGGATCTTAGAGAAATAGGTTGGGGTGGTATGGACTCAATTGATCTGTCTCAAGATGGAGATTAGTAGAGGGCTCTTGTGAACAAGGTAATGAACCTTCGGGTTCCATAAAATGTAGGGAACTTCTCGAGTAGCTGAATTTTTAGCGGGCACTTCCCTAATCGGCAGGTCTCTGTTTTCTGTGAGGTACGAACCGAATAATTTAGACGAATTTCAGGCTTCAGAGGGTTCCTGAGCGCAACATAGACGAATGGTAGGTTGTTGTCCCAAGAGGTAAGAGGGCGGGCCGGCATCACAGGCCGCAAAGCGCCGTCTCCGCTGTCGCGTCACCGTGACGCAACATTACGTAAGCATGCACTTTCACCGTGCCATTAAGCTATTTTACCTACCAGGGTAGCTCAGTCAGCATAGTGACTAGGTTACGGGCTGGATGACAGGATTTCCAGTAGGGGCAAGGCTATGAAGCACACCCAGCCTCCTGTCCAATGGGGACTAGAAGTAATGCGGTAGGGGCATGAAGTGAGGTTAGGAAAGCATGGAGCTATACCTCCAACTCTCCTTCCGCCTTTATGGCAAGCTGCTATATCCTGTAGCTAAGCGACTGTTAGCTTCTAGGAGTTTCCACTGAGGAGCCCTGGTCACTCTCTGCTGTCAGGCAAGTACGCTGACTTGTCGACAGAGATCCTTCGTCCATCCTACATACAATGTTTCTACAGCCATGACTCGGTTCCGAGAACCTCGTTTTTGCTCATGGCAAGAGCCAGGTAAAGGAATGAGATAAAGACGAAGATCGTTGTCTTCTTAGATGTGATGCCATTTAGTGTGGCAGATAGTTACCAACGTTTCGAAAAACATGCTGCTTCCATCTTCAGGATAGAAGTGTACGCCGATCGTAGAAAAATGGAAGAATACGAATGGCGAGGGAAGACGGACCGGGGTCCTGAGCGAGCCAATAGGAATAAAGAGAACGGCGACGGACCCTACAGTTGGGGGCAAGATGTTCCTCACAAAAGAAACGTCCAAACTACACGGCGTTACGTCTCAGCTACTGCCGTAAGAACCTCAGATCTCACACAACATGTAACTCTACCCTTATGGTACGGAACTGTAAGGAAGTGGTACCGGCCTATTTTAAGGTGTTATGCAATGACTTGGTTTGAAGTTACCGAAAAAAACACGAAGCACTCAAGGTGTCCGTTCACCAGATCCGAAATGTACGTATCACTATAACAGGCCGTGAAGGCCCATAGGGTTGTGAGCCGTCGAGGTTGCCACATTTTCTGTAGACAATCAGCTCACAGATGGCGGTGAGGTTGTCAGCCTTACGCGCTGCCCCCTTTACTCCCAGGAAGATTCCTGTTACTCATTTCTGTTAGAGGCTGAGTCGACCCCAGGGTCACAGTGCGTCAGGAAGGATTAGGTCAATTGAAAAACCTAATGACCTCATCGGGAATCGTACCGGCAACCTTCCGGCTTCAAGCATGGTGCCTCAACCAACTACGCTACCGCGTGTTCCCCGAATCTGTACGATATTGACATTATTGACGTTCGTGTGTTGCAGGAACCCAACATGGTGGCGCCGACGCACCAGCATGGAGCGCAACATGACGATCCTAGCGGCAGTGGCCTGGTGCGTGGTCACTGCCCTGGTGATCGTTCTTGCCATCTTCATCAGCCAGCCAAGGCAAGGTCAGTACCGAACTGCTGGTTCCTTAAACAATTGAACTCGGCCACCAAATACAGTCCGACTTCTTAGTCGTGGCTGCTAAGTTCCGCGCAATGCGAAGTACGGCACAAGTAGTGGGCGTTGTGTTACGTCTGTATCGTCGCACAGCAGCTGAAGAACTTAAACTTATCCACAGTCCTTGCTTGGCTAACTCAAACACCGCTTTTAATGTCTACTGCCTTCCAGTGAACTTGACCAAACTCAGTGCGCATTTAGGTATCTCCGACCACAACTAAAAAATCAGACAGCAACTTTCACATAACCACTGGATGAGGAAAGTGGATGTTACATAAGCACTGTGTCAAACATCCTGCTCTAATAGTTGTGAGCTAATACATTTGGCAAGGACTCGGTTCGAATCTTGTACGCGGAGAGGCTATCATGCCTGAGATATCTCCTGGTTTTCTTCAGTCCTTCCTGTACGGCCTATATTTAAAAAGACACATTTCACTTGCTGTCACTCATTGCGATGCACCATTCATGAACTCTGTGGATGATAACAAGCGTCGTGAAACAGGAACTCCCGCTTGTAACTTGTCTCATACATGCGGGGACCACAAGCCATTTGTTTTATTGCAGTTATCGTATTAAGACTATTCGGTACAGTTCGTAAAATGAACGCAAACAGGGCCGGTCCTACCAGACTCTGTAATACCCGACATCACCTACCGGCTTTCGTCAAATTTCGTTTTCAATGTCCATAATAAAAGTTGGTACCAAATTTAATTTCCGGGCAGTTAAATGAAGACACAGTATGGGTAAGCGGAGGTACAGCTCCAAGCCCCCTCAGTGGACTCCTTCGCCGGCCTGGACACTACAGAAGAGGAAGACTCTACATGCTTATGCCAGGAATCTACTGACTGAGCTATCCCGGCTCCTGGTGGCTCTTTAAGGAAATATGACTTAAAAACAATTGCCGACCCGGTGCGATGTGTACTTGCTGTAAACACAACACAGTTACCACAGAGGACTGCATTCTGAGTTTCCCAGCGCCCCCCGATATGTGCGACAGTCACTGGATATAGGTCGCATGAAGGTTGCTAGAAGCCGGAAGTTCCGGCCGCAACTCCGCAACAGTGCACAGCGATACGAGTGGAATAAAAACATAATAAATTGCCTTTATGAATAAAAACGGTTGAGCAGCGAGTAGCGCTGATGTTAATGGTCCATGACGGTTTATCGAGCGGAACTGTGCTATACAGCACAGCACCGCTACGACAAAATTTCTATCACCCGTTATAGCGCAGTTCGGTCCCGTGGACTTCTTCCAAGACATTTCCCCACCGAAATTCCTCCTCTCCTACGCAGCAGCCAAATGTGTAGTCCATCGCGCATGCCCTCAGCAGTCTTATCGAGCGGGCCGCGGTAGCCGTAACGCTCTAGACTCGTATTCGAATCTATCCTGAGATTCTACGTGATTTTCCTCAGGCCCTATAGAAATATTCTGGGTAGTACATTGATCAGGCCCCACACGGTAGCGTAGTTAGTTGAGGTACTATGGTACAAACCGGAAGGTCACGGGTTCGGGTCTCGATGAGGTCACTGGATTTTTTTCAATTGACCTAATCCTTCCAGCCGCACTATGGCCCTGGGGTCGACTCAATCTCTAAGAGAAACGAGTACTAGGAATATTCTTGGGGGAAAGGGCTGCTGGCGCGTAAGGCTGACGTCAACGCCATCTGTGAGCCGATTGTATAGAGAATGTGTCAGTCTCGACGTCTCACAATCCTATGGGCCTCCACGGACTGTTACAGGGATAGCTTTACCTTTTTACCTTACTTCGGTCAGGCTGCGATGTCTTATTTTCAGATCCTTTCCAATTGATGCTTCACCAATCGTCCTACCATTGGACGCGATATACAGTATTGCGCGGACACAGCAAGAAGCTCCCCTGCATGGAACAGCGAGCATCAGTTTGAGGACACGTGTAGATCACGGAAGCACAGACCCTCAGCTGCGTGTCTCCCGAATTACATGACTGCAGAATTTGCGCTTCCTTACGAGAATGTCCTCTCACTCTGACGAAATTAAACACTGGGAAGACAGAGTTTTACAACTTGCCCTTAAACCACGTGACTTTCAGAATTTAGTAGGCTGTCCAGAGTGTCAATACAAGCGGCCTTCGAAAATGTTTGCATTCCGTCATGTACATATCTCGCACTCAGAGGACCGCGAGCAGAGGAAGGGCAGACCACGGCACAGGACAGGTAATGCTAGTCGTGCGGTGGGTCAGTCATATAGCACGCAAGGGAAACATTGCATAAAGTATTTAGTTCCAAAGCAGTCACTTGAGAGAACTAGCCACGGATGGAAGGACCATACGGACTGCTTCGATTGAAGGGATTATGTAGCGTCGAGTGAGATAGGAAACTGATCGGCAATAACCTGAAAGAAGGCGACCATGACCTGTATCAAGTCACAACACTGAGTAAAACCACGAAGCTCTTGAGGACAGCAGGTAATATGGCAGAGAAATGCAGAGGGTGTTTTCTGAATACTGCATAGAGCCCTACCAATAAAAAAAAAATACATACAAAATGTTGGTTTGGAAACTTCATGAGATGAGACCATTTGGAACATCGAGAACAAATGGGAAGATAATATTAAAAGAGTTGTTTACGTAATTATATCTGACAACATATGTTATATATCACAGTTAGGATGAAGGCACAATCCCAATCTTTGCCTGGAAGAACCAAGAAACAGCATGAAACGCCTCATTTAGGACAGTTCACCGGACTCAAGAGTCGAACTGGTTACTTTAGAATACAAACCAGGTGCATAAGTGGTAATCCCCAATATATGTATAAGCCTATCAGCTATGTGGCAATCCTATACAACGTTACTCTCTCCTCTGTCAACCCTCCCCACGTTACGAGCGACAGGTCGCGTTCAGAAACGGCAGTCAAAGGTAAGTACTTCTCGCATCTCTGGGCACTCCAAAGCAGCTGCTTATTGCCGATTTTAACAATACAAACTATAAAGGGCATAACTGTAGGAGGTAATTTCCTAGGTCTTTGTGATCAAAAAAGTTCATATAAATATGTGTTCGATTTTGGACGGTTACGGAGTTATGACCGTTTTTTCATTCCCGTACACGCCCTCGTGTGAACCGCGCTATCATCTGACGGATCGCTACTTTTAGCCAGCTGCAGACAGAGCGTTCTCGTTATCTCGACACTTGAGAGGTACCTAAGGCGGGGTGGGTTGGTATGTACCCGCGCGGTTCACAATCGAGCGGCAGCCTGTGTTGCGGCCAGCGGTGGCATTTTCGAAAATCAGCTTTAAGCAATAATAAATTAAAAATAAAAGTAATTTCACGAAGTTAACTTTACATTCATACTTTAAATGTATCATGTATTATGCTGGTTTATTATTTTGTTCCGTTTGTCAGTAATCGTTACCTTCTCTTCTGAGTTTAAAACGGTCATAACTCCGTAACCGTCCAAAATCGGACACATGTTTATATGAACTTTTTTGATCACAGAGACATAGGAAATAACCTCCTGCAGTTATGCCCTAAAGTCGTGAAACACCCTGTATATTTCAGTGGTAACATACAAAAGGAAAAAGTTTGTTTTCTAAATCAAGAGTAGCATGGAAGGGGCTAAGCACTAAATCTTGTTTACTTGTTCTGGGAAACAACTGTGAAACTAAGCAACTAATGAGAGTCCTCCTCGGACACCCTTCCACAACCAGAATCCCTTCCCACCTTACCCGCTGCTCTTTCAGGGACGGAAGGACAATTCTTTGGGAGGAGAGGTGGCACCGACCGGAGCGACATCTGCCTGACGCCGGGCTGCGTCCATACAGGTACGTCTCAAGCGGCGCCAGAGTGTCTCCACCTACTGGTAGGCACAGTGACCTAACTTAAATACAGGACTAGTATCGGTACAGTTACCCGGTTTAAAGGATTTCCGCAGCTCCAGTGGTCTAGCTTATGTGGGAATTCGGAACAGCCATACAGAAAGGCTTAGTCAGGAGATGGCGACGCCACAGTTGCCTGATCGCCTACACTTAGTGCGAGCTTCCTAGCGCGGCACAACGGCCTGGTTAATGGTAGAGTACCTCTACTTACCGGCGCGGCGCTGGCATAGACTTAACGGATAGGTTACATGGGTGACCACTGACCCTGCTTAGTGGTGCCATATTGGCAATGATTAAAGGGAAACTTAGTGCTTCTTAGTGGAACGACAGTAGCAAACATTATCTTGCAGCTCAACAGAGCCACAGGAACCGCCTTAGTGGCGTCACTGCGACACTGCTAGCCACATCTGCACAAATTAGGTTTGCACTAGATGCGCCACTCCTTAGTAAGGCCAGGACCACAGCTCAACCCGGAGCTTAGCCAATGTGTATATGTTGCAGCCTCCAGCATCCTGAAGAGCATGGATCCGTCAGTGGAGCCGTGCGACGACTTCTACAAGTTTGCATGCGGCCAGTTCGTGAAGAACACGGTGATTCCCGACGAGAAATCGACCGTAAATGGCTTCAGCATTGTGACTGACAAGCTGCAGGAGCAACTGCGTACCGTCATAGAGGAGCCCATTTCAGAGGAAGACAGGAAGCCTTTCCGCCTCGTGAAGAATCTCTTCAGGGCGTGCATGAACAAGAGTGAGTAGCGCTTGAAGCCTGACTCGTACCGTTAAGAAAACACTCCGGGAAAGCAAAATAATGACCGTCAGATTTCCGCTCGTACCGCCAAGAAAACATTCCCTAGTCGATAGACAATAGCTCTCTGACTTTTGATCACACCGCAGAAGAAAACACTACCGAGTTGTAGGGCAACACCTCCCTTATTTCTGATCATACCATCAAGAGAACAATTTCCACGACACTGAATACGTTTTGAGAACACAATTGCTGACAGTAAGCAATGTTGCAGCACACATCGAGAGTCGTGGCTTCACACCATTGCTGGACATTCTGCGCCAACTGGGAGGCTGGCCAATACTGGACGGAGACGCCTGGGACGCCGGAAAGTTCGACTGGCGTCAGTCTGTCTTCAACTTCAAAGCTATGGGCTACAGCGTCGACTACTTTATGGACTTTTCAGTGTCCACTGACGCCAAAAATTCCTCATACCGCTCCATTAACGTAAGTTACCTACAGAACTTCTCTAAGAATTTCCATGCAGTACATGTTATGATGAGGTCAGAGGCACGATGCAGACCTGCATTTGAATTTAAATGTCAATGGATAAATCCATGTTGGATATGACTAAATATCTCTACATTATTTTCAGTGGGGAATTTACAGGAACATGTTATGTAAAGGCAAAGATGGTTATTAGTGTGTCAAAGCACTATGCTATATGGGCATACAGGGACAGTGGATTCAAAACTCCACACATTTTTCACTTCAGCTCTATCTCGATAGCAGTTAACTCCGCACTTCTGATATCCCCCGAGATACACATGGAAGAGGAGGATGGATGGACCTCAGGGCCAGTATGGACACGGAGACAGCAAAATAAGAATGTCCTACAACTGAGCCATGGTCATCTAATACATTTCTGAACCTAAAGTTACCCATCCCATCAACACGCTGGAATAGAATTGCATTGCCGATCTTTGCACTAGACAGAGGCGAATATTCTGTCCCTCCGGCCAGCTTACACAGCTGAGGCTGTAGTCATACTGATCACATAACAAGAAAATATCTTCCAGAATTTACCGAATCCTCACACAAAATTTGTCATAAAACTTATAAGAAGCCTAAACTTTCTACACATTCATATAAAATATCACCACATAAATGATGAGCAAAAAATCAGTGTTTGATTCTCATCAGGAGGGGGACGGTATTTTTATTTTTCTTTTCACATTGTCCAGACCAGCTTTGGGGCCCACCCAGCCTCCTATTCAATGGGTAAAGAGGGCTCAATGCTGCCAGAGGTAGCATGGCCAGGACGTAAAGGTCACCACAAATGTTCAGTCAGAGCTGAGATTAAGAATGAATGGAGATATACCTCCATCCCTCATATCTTCATGGCATGGTGCTTAATTAAGCACAGGGACAACCTTATATTTTACACATTTATATACCAATATTTTACAGTGTGTGGTATAACTGGAAACAAAAGCATACAGCACAATGTGTGAACATAACCTTCAAACTGGAAGTTTAAAAATGTATCCAAAATATGTCAGAATGTCCTGCTAGAACTTACTGCTCACAATTCCTCTTCAGAAATGATGTAAACATATTTATGCGCATTTGTATAATACGAAAACTTCCCCCTGTATATCTGCCAGTACTGCATGCCCACTGAAATGTAGCCTTGAAGAGCTGGCCATATCTTGCCCTCCCTAAGGAACAGTTTAATTTGCAAAACTCTGCTTGCAGCTGGACCAAGCGTCTCTGGGGCTAAGTCGGGAGTACCTGACCAAGGGATTCAGCGAGAAATTGGTGGATGCATACTACAAGTATGTAGTGGATATTGCGGTGATCCTGGGGGCAAACAGGGACCGTGCCACCAAGGAGATCCGAGACAGCATCGAGTTTGAGATGAAACTGGCCAATGTGAGTGTCTGCATGTCTCTATGCTTATGTTCAGCTCAAATAAAAAAGCAGTGCATACTTTCACATAAATGATTACCCTTCGCTATGTCACCTTGAAAATTAAATTGACTGTTGTTTGGTAGACAACTGTTGGTGGCTTAATACACAAGCATACACAGATGTACATACCAGTCTCTTCAGTACTGAATATGAACAAAATCTGCCTAACCATTCAGACACTATTGAGAAGCAAATACATACAAGTATATACATGCATACAGACATCAAGCTAAACACCACTTTTCCATATTAAGAACTACTGAAGTGTTCTTGTGTTAAGCCTGATTATCAAAGAGCAGGGCTTGTATGAAGCTACAAACTGTCGAAATGGATATAAACCAAACCATTACCGTCTCACAGCACCATTTAGGTATTTTTAACCATGCTTCTTTTAATCAATTCCCCATTTAAATCTAAACTTTAAATTAGTATTATCAGAAAGACTATAAACAACTCCATGCCTTGCTTAAGCCTGTAAACCATTTACTCATGTTGCAAGACTGTTAATGAATAATGTTTGCAGCTGTCATTGCCAAGTGAGGAACGTCGGAATGTGACCAAACTGTACAATGCCATGACAGTCCACGAGATGCAAAGCAAGTTTCCCACAATCCCATGGCTCACATACTTCAATAGCATCCTGCCAGAACATGTGCAAATCAACAACGACGAGGTGATTGTGGTCGCTGTGCCTAGTTTCATCAAGGGCCTGGAGAAACTCGTGGCAGAGACCCCCAAGAGGTTAGTATTCCTACAACAATCACCATACTCAGTCTACTAGAGGAACATGGGTGGGTTATCATCAGTTAGTAACACAGACCGTGAAGTGATCATCATAACATTACTAGGTTCTATATCCAACATACTTTCAGTATTTACATACTGGCAAGAAATTCTAACATGCTCACACAGGACATGTCCTCTGCAAGGTTGTCTACACAAAGTATGATGTACCTTGGCTTGCAGTAACTGAGATTATGAGAACAGAAATTGAGTGACTCTGTTTTACAGGGTTCTTGCCAACTACGTGATGAGCCGCGTGGCAGGAGCCAGCGTCAACTATCTAAATGACGAACTGAGAAATCGACAGTTGAAATTCTCTACAGCACTGTCTGGAAAGACAGAACGGGAGGCTCGATGGAAAGAGTGTATTGACATTGTCAGCGGGGGGTGAGTAACTTTACTGTCAGGCCCTCTGAATTTGTCGACAGTGCTCCTAGGGAAAATGAAGATTTAAGAGTGGATTTGCGTAGCATAGGATGTACTGTACAAGAATCTTACTTACATATTAATGGGAGACCCAAGTAACTTTAAAATTTATCATATTATCCACCAAAATATTGCTGCCAATCTTAGAAGTTTATATTTATTTTTAAAAACAAAACCAAAAGTGTAAGTGTTGGACTTGCTGGTGTCAGAGTGTGGGGTAAGGTGCTGGGTCTTGTTTACAAATAAGCTTCTAAGGTTGGCATCACTGATGTAGTGGACAGCATGGCAGTCAGCCATTAATATTTAAGTACCAAATCAGTTTGTAAATGAAAGAGAGGAAGTAACAGGAAGATGAACAAAATTACACAGTGAGGAGCTTCATAATCTGTACACGTCACCAGATTTGTTACATCTATGCTTACTTAATTAAGCACCATGTCATGAAACTGTAATGGGGAATGAGCATTGAGATCCTAATATTGACCACGGCACTTGGTGAAAGGTGAGTGATGAGCTTCACGCCACGATGTTTTACCACCAGTAACCATTAGACAGGAGGCTGGGTGGGCCCCACAGCCAGTCCGGACACTATGGAGAAGAGAAACATCTTTTGCTTCTGCCAGGAATCGAACCCCAATTCTCTTATTGTACAGCCTGTCAGTATACTGACTAAGCTATTCCAGCACCCACCAGACACTGTTAGGGTAATCAAAATGCATCGAGGAATCAAGACCGGTGCATGAATTTTTGGCTGAATGACCCAAAGACTTGGGAGTTCTAGGTGTGGAAAGGAGGTACAGCTAAAGTTGTTCTAGTGTCTGAGTATCACTACAGGAAGATGTACTTGGGAGTAGACATAAAACTCAGCACCACACTCCAGCCACCGTCTTCCTGGGAAAAAGCCCCAGTACATACTGGATAGGAGGTTATTTATGTGAATATTATTGTGTGATTTGTAACTTGTACTCACAGACTGCCCCCTCTTCTTCCTGTCAAGTTTTGTCTGTGGCATGGCGATAATTGTGATGATATTCATTGCAGCTTATCCATCTCTGTGGGATCGCTTTATGTGCGGAAATTCTTCAAGGAGGAGGCCAAGACCAAGGCAATGGAGATGGTGGAAGATATCAGAAAGGAGTTTATCCATATCCTCATGAATGTCGACTGGATGGATGAGAAAACAAAGTAAGTACACAAGAATTAAAGGAAATTATGTCAAAATTCTATCAGAATATTGATTAGGTACAATTTCACAGCATATTTGAAGCATTTGAATTATAGAAAACTACAAGAAAATGAGATCTGAGGTTTTGGTCAAAATCAAGATTACTGTCTTGTGGGATGTCACATAAGGTGGTCCCTCCAGAAAGTTGTCACCTACCCACCGAACTACATGGCACTTCATGCCAGAAGACCATAATGTTGATTAGGCCCAAGACAACTGACATTCTAATGGCAGAGAACATGAAGATTTCTGGCTGTGATGCAGGGCAGCTCGGTAGACAGGTAGGAACATTCTGAAGGAATCTGCTGCCTCCATCTTCAGGTGGTTGGGTATATCTTTAGAATATTCTGAAATGGTTTAAAATACAGAAAACTAGAAGAAGATGAATCCACGCCACATTAGCTTTCAAAAGTCTCCTCTGTGAGAGGGAAATCTGGACAATCCCAGATGAAATTCATGAGACTGACTACAGATTTTATTTGGACAGACTACGAAGGGAAGAAAGACACAATGAACAGACTAAGAACCAGATACAAATTCACCCTTTTGAAGTCTGTTTATTAAATAGCATTCAATGAGGACAGACTACGAAGGGAAGAAAGACACAATGAACAGACTAAGAACCAGATACAAATTCACCCTTTTGAAGTCTGTTTATTAAATAGCATTCAATGAATCATTTGCACCTCAAAGAAGGTAATTTACATCTACATTACAAAGCCCAACCAGTTAACTGTTATTTATTCCAAGAATGACACACACACATAAATACACTGTGCTGCCAAAATGGAGGNTGTTAATTGGTTAGTGTGACGGACCAGAATGAAAGACCTTAAACACATAAATACACTGTGCTGCCAAAATGGAGCGTTGCTTAATGTTAAAAGTATATGGTACACCTGATGTAACATTGGGGTCTTGTGCATGATGAAACCATGGGTGCTTATAACCTACAAAATTACTTGGTCAATAGTCTGTAAGCCCACAGTGCTAATGTCGATGGCTTATCTATTTTGTTCCTGAGTACTGACAGATAGACAGAAGTGTGAAGTTCTAATGCCAGCATGATTTGTTTCAACAGGCAGAAGGGGCTAGAGAAAGCGAAAGCAATGGCTGTCCACATTGCATACCCTGATGAACTGCTTGATGACAACAAACTTGAGGACTTCTATGATAAGGTATGTGACTTCTTGAAACAAGATTTCTGCTGAAGATGGCAGAATGTGACAGAGTACATACTTATCTTCGAAAATAGGGAAATATTTGAAAACACGTGCTTCAGGAAGTATAATGGACCCTCCATGTAAAGGTTTTCCTCACTTAAGTCAATAATCTCACTACAATATTCCATCCATTTAAGGTTTTTTTTTAGCCCAGTGTTCACATCCATTGGTCCCAAAAGATAGCTTAAATGAGAAATATCCATCCTTCAACCAGTATAAGGTTACTTTCCCTGTCAGTATCAGAATATCAAAGAATAATAAATACTCAAGTTAAAAAATTAGACCATGGTCACCTCTTGTAGAACATCTACGATTATTGTAACGGAGAGTTACTGAGGTGAACTCAGTTCTACATGCCATGGACATGAATTTGATGAAGATAACAATTAAAGTTTACTCAAGTAATTAAAACACTGCCTGGAAAATGAAAATTTGAACTGCACACAAAAATTCTACTATAGTACTTGCAGACTGCTTTAATGTTTGTTTTCGTGCGTGCATATTGGTGAGAGTGCGGAGCAAATTTTGTTAATATCTTTCGCTGTCTGTGAGATCTGCAATAGGAAACTAATAGGAAGTTACCTTTTCATGTACACTAGATATTTAATGCTTATATTATTTGATATCTTTCATATAAAAAGCATGATAATTGTGAGGAGTAAAAATGCAGAAGTGCATGGGGAGACAGAGTTCCACGTCCTACCCGAGGGTTGTCCATTTATTTGCTGGCCAATGAAAAACATTCTGAGTTCTGTGTGTACAAATTCTGAAGGTGCTTCAGTCTGTCAAAGTCGTGTTCAGTGCCCACAGTGTTTTAAGACTTAATTTCTTTCATTTCATTGCAGCCTGAACTTTGTTCTGTAAGTACCCAGTCACATTTTTAGTCTAAGCAATAAGTTACAAACAGATGGAGCTTAAGTTTGCAGTGGTGCCAAACTAAAAACGAAATGGCTACAGTGATCCAATATGAGTTCCATGTTTTAAGAAATGACCACAAATGATGATATGAAGCCATTTTGGTTACTAAACATTAATTTTACACCTTTAAATGCGAAACAGAATGGTGAACCTGTACAACTTGATGTTTCTCAGGGCCCTATTGTCTGAGATGTAATGCCATATAGTCCACTAAAGTCAACCAACATGTCGCCTCCATCTTCAGGGTCTAAGAATAAACCGAACAACAGCCCAGCATGAAGCAGGCGGCACGCACGCCCTGCTTGCCGCCTGCTTCACATCAGTGTCTTTGACAGAAGTGCCCTGTGGTGTGGGGATGATAAGATGATGATGATGATGATGACAATAACAGTAAGGATGCCACTAATATGAACTATGACCCTGCATGGCTTGTGGTCTACATACGGACAAGAGTTATTCATAAATGGTATGACAGTACGGTACAAATACTGAGCTCATAGTCTTCAGGGATATAATGTCATACATCTCAGTAAACCGGAAGGAACGGAGTCTCCATCTATGGGAGCATCAGGCTCTTTGTGTTTAACAAAGCACATGACCTCAAACCCCACAAAACCATTTANTTTCGGATGGAATGTGAGAATTGAACGTGCATTCAACAATCCTAGCAAGTGTTGTGCTTTTACACGTCGACATATTGTAGCAGCGTCCACGCAGCAAATATAACTGTGTACATCTTAAACAACGACAGTGTTTTCATGATTGTACTATGTGCCTCTGATGATGGTTTTATTAAACTGAAACATGTAAGGCAGAAGTGATAAATGAAGTGACCTACAAAATTGTTACACTCGACGGACTTTCTATTGACTTTGTGATTGATAGAGTAACGGACCAAAAATGAAACAATTCAAAANTTTAACAAAGCACATGACCTCAAACCCCACAAAACCATATAATTATCATTCACCACCATGACAACTTCAAATCCTGTTTGCTAATATATAACATCCCTGATAGGGCTATCATATTTTGAACCTCAAAGTGTACCTGACTCAGTCTCCAAGCAGTGGGCTAATTGTAACTTAATTTGGGGCACATGACACATGCTTTGATTAAGAGATTATTTATATGGTACATAATTTAATGACACTGAATGAAACGATCAGATTAATAAGTATTAAAGATCTACTAGGTAATGTGATGCCTGACCATTACTCTGTAACGCAGACCATTGCAAGATCATTAGAAAGTTATTAGATTCTATTTTCAGCAGACTCCCCATATTCATACAGCAATGGGACTTCTGTTCTGGAAGGTGTACCCTGGGGTGTACAGTAGATGGATTTTACATACGGTCATTATCGCCAACAGATGCCACTATTTAAAGGCAGTGTGATCCACTGTTAGTTCCTTTAGGATTGAGCAACACAATTGCGTTTGATCCACAGCTTGAAGTGAACCCACACCTTTATCTGGAGAGCATCCTCAATGTCACCAAGTTTGGCATGAACTATTCATTTGGACGACTTCGCACGAAGGTCAACAAGACTGAATGGATCACACATGGACGTCCAGCCATTGTCAATGCGTTCTATAGTTCAATTGAAAACAGCATCCGTGAGTAGAAATTTAGAATGTCGCCAATTTGCACCATAACAAAGTAAGACAACAGTCCCCTAGACAGTGTTTTCCTTCTTGCTCCAGAGTTCCCTGCTGGCATCCTGCAAGGATCCTTCTTCAACAGTGAACGTCCACGCTACATGAACTACGGAGCGATTGGATTTGTTATTGGCCATGAGATAACGCATGGCTTCGACGATCAGGTATGGAACAACTATTAAACTGTGTGAAGCTTTATGGTTAATAAATATATATGCCTCCTACATAAAAGTACAGGGGCACGCAGTAGTGTATTTGGTTAAGGCACTGTGCTACATGCTGGAAGGTAACAGGTTCAATTCCTGATGAGGTCACTGGATTTTTCAGTTGCCCTAAACCTTCCAGCTGCATTAGGGCCTAGGGGTTGGCTCAGTCTCTAATGGAAATGAGTACCAGGAATCTTCCTGGGGATAAAGGGCGGCCAACATGTAACGCTGACACCCTCACTGCCATCTGTGAGCCAGTTTTATAGAAAATGTGGAAGCCTTGATGTCTTGCAATGCTATAGGCCTCCACAGCCTGTTACAGGTACAGCTATACCTTTTTTTACATAACATAAAAATTCTGCATTTTCCCCAACAGAGTGTATTTATTACATTAATATATACTTCAATATTAATTAACGGACAAGTTTGTGTAACGAAGATGCAGCATATGTTCTCTTAATATGCAAATACTATTTAAACAAATTTCACCCTAATGCAGCCTTTCCAATGTTAACATCAGAATTTTATGCTGCTGCAAAATTATGATCCAATGCAGTAAAGATTTTATTCAGCTTCTTTCCTGCGCTGCATAACAGTTCACTTCCACCCACTTTATCTTCTTAAATTTCCAATGCATTATCTTCTTTCCAACTTACATTTACCAGGAAAAATGGACACCGCTTAAGAACATTCAGAGCCAAACTTTTGCTATTAGTTTTGCCTGCAATAAACGCAATGTCTGTGACTACCCCCCATTCCTTTTGCTCTCTGCTCACTCTCTCTCTCCTGAGGCTGTTCTCACAGAACTCTGGTACTTTCCCACAGGGCCGACAATTTGACAAGGACGGCAACTTGGTGGAATGGTGGGAGCCAGACACAAAGAAGAAATACCTCCAGAAAGCAAAGTGTATCATAGAACAGTATGGCAATTACACAGAGGAGGAGACGGGACTGCACGTGAGTTGTCCTGGCCTTATTCAGAAACAGCATTTCCTTGTCCTTAGGGTTTCGTGGCCATGACCCGACACATAATTTCAGCTTTCGAGGTTTGGCCACGTTGCTCTAATGTATCGTTGTACAATACAGTTGCAATCTTCAGGGTGAATGAGGCAGGAAAGTGTAACACCAACAGTGTTATCAGGACTTTCTTTTCCCCCAAACGAATCGGCCACAGACCTTGCTTACAAATGTATGTTTAAGCCGTTAAACAATATTTTTACAGACTGCCCTTGAACACCCAAAGATATTATGAAGCTCACCTCATAATCTTGCCATTATGTATGGCAGTCACGGCTGTTAAAGCAATGTGCAAACATCGCAACAAAGTTTTTGGACGTGATTTGCATCCTAATTCCCCATCTTTCTCTTTTAATTACTTTCTTAATTTGAGTCTTAAGCCTTCTTTAGAGTTTTAGTTACTATATACTGTTATGCTAACAAGAAAAGCAACCATATCCCAGGTAAAGAAGGGCCACTTCTGCTTGTCTCAAAATAAAAACATTTTGAATCCGATAAACATACAGCAAGTATAAAATCTTACGCTGAATGTGTGGTAATGTTATTGAAGTTGCGAATTATATGAATAAACTTATTCAAAATCTGTTCAATAAAAACACCACTAATCTAGATAAAGGACTGACACAACTTCCCTATAAGATAACCCTACTTTCTGCCAGAAACTTGCAGCCCTCTTTCAACACCCTTGATTCACATTACTTTGATGTTTGTGTACAGCTAAATGGAATCAACACCCAGGGCGAGAACATTGCAGACAATGGAGGAATTAAGGAGGCATATTATGCATATCTGAGATGGACTGAACGGAATTACGTGGAACCTCGCCTGCCTGGTCTCAACTACTCGCCACGCCAGATGTTCTGGATGTCTGCAGCACAAACTTGGTGTACCAAATATCGAATCCAAGCTATGCGCCAACGTATCACCACTGGTGTGCATTCTCTTGGACAGTTCCGTGTATTAGGACCCCTGTCAAATATGATCGAGTTTTCTGAAGACTTCAACTGTCCGCTTGGTTCACCCATGAACCCCGTTCACAAGTGTCAAGTGTGGTGAGCTCTCTAGCGTTCAATTTCCCGAACTACAAACGAGTGAATGGTGACTGTAAAACGCAAGTGTTGTGCACTGCGTTACAAGGCACAGTACTACTCACATGTCTCTGAAAGGCATGTTCCTTTATGACAAGGAAGTTAAGTGCTATTGGACGAACAAGTTGAGCCGTAAGCCAGTATACTTACTGCCTTTATGAGCACTTCATTTTGATAACAAGTAATTTAATTTAATGAACTCGTAATGCTGTGGTGTTCCCTGCTTGCAGTGTGGGTCATCCCTCATTGTTGCTTTTTACTAACATCGCAAAGTTCCTTGCTTTCATGCACAGCGAAATAATTATAGGGTTCCAAAGGATACCCAAATGACAGAAATATCTCAGATCCTGAACAACAACCGCACTTGCCAGAACATTATTTACCTCCTGTTACAACACAACTCTACATATTAGCCTCTTATATTGCACAGATGTGAAGATCTCTATTAATATTACCCAGCTTAGTGTTCCTTTCTACAACCAGAATGCGCCATAAATTGGATAACAAAATTATGTCCTACCCAAATGTTCACTGTGCAGGAACCATCTCTCCATAGAAATTGATGTATTCCTACGTGAGATTTTGAGTTTTTCAAGGTGGTGACTGTAAAGATTACCATTATTTTGGAATAAAGTTCTGCCTCCATCTTTAGGACACAGTATTTTGGGGCTGTGAACATTAGATGGGTTTTGGATTGGACTTATTGACGCCTCATACACGCAACTCATAACTACAAGTAATGCAGCGCTATCGCTGACCTACACACTTCACAAATCATTAGGAAATGCTTAGCCTTCTCTCAGACTTCACTAGTTTTATCCTGGCAATGGATTTATATCAGTCTCACTGTAACTGCAGCACACTATGAAGCCTTCTTTGAGCAGTTTAATTAATTTCTTTCCAGTTATTCTGCCAACTCAGGGACTTGACTCAGTTCTCATTCTAGCTGCATGAGATCCTCATTATACATCTTTGGGGCAGACCCACAGAAAACACTGTTCCCTCTATTTTTGCATGTTGATTCACTGCTGCAGAGATGTGTTTACTGCACAGGTGCATAGCAACAAGTGTGGCGTGGACCCACAGAGAATTCCGCTTGCAACACCTCTTCTACTGTTGCATGATGTCAGTGTGTGTGACACATTCCTCTGCTATGTGTGTACGGGCCATTACCTGGCAACAGCTGTTTCTCTGTCTCCACAGTTCTTGCTTTGAGAAATATGCCACAATATATTCCTAATTATCTGTGATACTGAAGGGGAAAAGTTGTAAAACTCATTGAAAACACAAATAAATTTGGAAATGTATGCATAGTCTTAAGCTACTTACTTATCTCAAAAACTCTAAGACTTATGCGAAAAGTATACTGAACATGAAATATATTTTATTTTTACCTGTAACTTTTCTTTGAATGTTTTTAACTCCAATGAAAAATTAGTGATTTATGTTCAAGGTACAAACAGAAATGAAAGTAAGTCTTTAACTAATGTGATCATTAAAATTGGCCACTGTAAATGAAAGACTTAAATGGATTGACAATTTTCATAAACCTCCTAACATCAAATTTTGCTACAATCCATCCAGTAGTTCTCCAGTTATTTTACTCTTGAAGATAGATGAATAGGTGCTCTGACAATAAGTAATCCTTTGGAACCCTACAATGCACCATGCTTATTAGCTGTCTGCATCATGATACCACACTGCACATTTTTAAACAAGACTGTACACTGAAGATACACATTTTAAATATGAGGTTTATTTTTTTGTTGTACTGTAAAGTTGATTTTTCTTTGTACAAATAAATTTATTAAAACCAAAAATGAATCTGGTTACACATTCAGTGACGATGAGTCAACTGCAGCACCAATTTTCCTGAGCCATCAGATACCTACATCTAGCAGTGAGGCAGAAAGCCTACACCAGCAACCATTAACGAGAAGCCCCACTCATGAGCACAGAGAATGGTGAGAGGATTATTTCACAAATCTGACTTGACCTGTTCTAAGAAGTTGTATTCTTTTTTGGACATATAAATAAGATTAGAAGACCACGAAGGCAATTTTTGTAAGAAAACCTCAAGGAAAGTGATCATTAGGAAGACCTAGATATAGACTAGCTAGTAATTACAATTAAACCTTAAAGAAGGGTGGGGGATTCTGGGCTGGACTGATCTGGCTCAGGACAGGGACCCGTGGTGTGGTCTTCTGAACACAATAATAAAACTTTGGGCTCCATAAAATCCTGGGTATTTCTTGAGTGGCTGAGCAACTATGGGCTTCTCAAGGACTCAATTAAGCAGTAATGTGTATCATTTAATGAAGGTCACAAGAGCGAGACCTGAGGTTCTCAGGACAGTGAACGTGCAGTGGGATGCGACATTGCGCACTCTGGTGCAGAGTTATAAGCCTGCCCGTGTCCTTCACTGTCAGCGCATGAGAGCGAGTCTATGCTACGAACTTGCTTCGTCTGCAGAGAGAACATTCATAGGCTGGCACTGGCAACTGGCACGTGGGAAAAGCACACAGTATCTACTAATAACAGAGATCCTATGAGCTCAACGTCTACCTTTTTACTGAGACAACATAGTATCGCTGCACACGCTCACCAATCTTAGGCTCGCTGACTTGCATCAGACCACCACGCATCAGAGATCCACCGGCCAAAATTGACCGTCCCACCTATATAAAGTTTCATCTCAAGGATAGAATTCTTATATAGGCAGCACACGACCGTATCCTTGGGTCTTCCGGCTAAGGCTTGATTTCTGACAAGACAATTGGTCAGTTACACATAAGGAAGTTTCATGTTCCAAGCAAACTTATGTTTCATTTGATTCTCACAATAACTGTTATTTCCTTAACTGACTTCGTTTTGACACAGATGTTGCGTTTTCTATGAATTAAGATCTAAATTCTTAAGCATTTTAAAGGAAATTAAGGCTCCAAAGGCTTGAGACGTCAGCAGCAGGACTCTGAGCTGCAACTCAAGCCATGTGATCACTTCAAAGGTGGGCTCACAAAACGTTTTCCTTTGCTGAAACTTGACTAGAGGCTGTTGCAGTGACACTTGTTCAGTGCACGGATGCTACAGAAATGAGAAATCACAATGATGGGAGGACAAATAAGAGGAAAAGAAAAGGAACCGTTGGCTGGACACGGAGAACAAAACAAGTTAACACCATTTTACAAACTGTGGCTGGAAGAACACAGGAACAAGCACAAAACACACTCGACACTAATCCTCTCAGAGCCATGAAGCAAACGGCAATGGGCAAGAAGTAAGTTGCATAGGGAATATGCTTTTGTGCGCAGCGGCTTCAACTGTATTATTAGCAATCGGCAGCATGGAGCAAAATCCTGGACCTGGTGCGGAGGCAGAGAACCGTCTTCAAGTATTGTGTAGTGGGTGTGAGAGGAATTAAAAGTTTCACAACAGGTATGGAAACATCAAGATGGCTGACAGTGGGAAGTGGATCTGTGGCAGGTGCAGATGGGACAGGCTTCGTCAACTAGAGGAAAACCTGGAAAACACACGCTCCCTCTGAGGAACCCTCCTACTGAAAACAAACAGGGCAGGACTTACACTGAACACCTCCCAAATACAAGCCTCAAGTGCTACTTCTATGCAACACGCTCAGTTCTGTTCTTAAAGGCAATGAGGACATAGTGGGGGGAGGGGCATTGTCTGATAGCCACTGCCACAAACACATCCCACACAGTTTTCTATGGGTCACAAAATTGGAACCATGCTGGAATTAGAAGGGAAGTACATATGGAACAAAATCTCCTCAAGGACCCATCTTTTGAACCCAGCAGCCATAATGAAACATCTAAAATTCATTTATTAACAACAATAGAAAAATATCAAATTTATAACAATGTATATCAGTCATATTTGGTGCCCCCCATTCCAGCCCTACCAGGAGGTCTGTGTGCTGTCGGAGCACTGCAGACCTCTAGGCACGGAGCATCCCATCTTGCTTCTTCTTCTTCTTCTTTACACACTTGCTACTCATACTACTAGGCTGACTGCATTTACTGCCTGCATTCCCTTGTTTTGAAAGAAGAGGAAACAATGACACGAGGTCGTAACATTATGGTATTCTGGGATGTCATACTGTGTAGTTTTGTGACTCCACCTTCAGGGTGTACATCTGAAATGCTGATATCTACCTACCATATTACAGGATGTAACAACCCAGAAGTGTGGAACCTTAAAGTGTAAGCCATGCGTCACTCATAAACCTACCTGCAAGTACAACAGACATTAAATATCTGCCATATCTAACACATGATTTACCACAACTTGATGTACCCCACTGTGCTCACAACACTAAAAAGTAACACATAAAAGATTAAAATGAAACAAATTGGCGTTGCTAGCCTGGTATCCTTATTTTGATAAAAACAGTAGTAGGCTTATGTGACCACCATGCTGTCTGCATATCCCCCTTTATCAACTTCTGAATGCCTGAACCAGTCTTTATGAGACTCAGTATGTATGTCATGGCACCTGAGCCCATCTCAAAGGTGTACTTCATAAATCCCCCCCATCAGTATGTGTGCCTATATGCATATCGCCCTACTGCTGTTAGAAAACAGTGTTACCGCAGCAACAAATACACGCTTCATTCTCTATACACTCCATGTCATAACAAAGCAAGGTTGGTGACTAGTTCTACCAGAACTTCTAGTTGTAGCAAGTTTTCTTATTGCTTACTTTCGTCAGTTTCCCCCCTGCCAATCATCATTCCACCACTACTCCATATTCATGTATGTGTGACGGCTGTGCCCGGACAGAAGCACATTATCACGTCGCCAGTCTTTAAATTTGGGTCTTAATTTCAGACTGCACCCAGGCTAAGGAAGTATTTTATAATGAATTACAGTTTTGTTTGTTTCTTTGTGTGTACATGTGCATGCATGTGGGGGGTGGGGGGGTAGGCATTGGCTTCTTATCACAGAGCCTCATCTTCAATCCTGAATGATGCCATGCAAAACCTGTGGTGGACAGTGTGGCACTGCGACACTGTGACTTTCTTTGGTTTACCCCCACCAATGATCATGCCCCCCCCCCCAAGGTGTGCAACAGCCCTGCAGAAGTTCGGGTCCTCACCTCTTCTGATTTGGCACTTGACTGGTCACAGAGTAAGAAAGTTGAACTCTCCTTTTTAAATGGCAAGGTTTCAGTCCAGTACTGAGCAGAATACAGAGGTTAGAACTCATACAGCAACACTCGAGTGAGCTAACAAAGTATTTACAGAGCACATTCCATACAGAATGTGGCTATTATGATGATCTGCCAATTCTGGTGTAGGAAATTCAGCCTTTGATACATATTTCACATACTTTGTGCTCCACAGGGCTCTAGTGAAGGAAGGATGCATATCAGAGCAGGTACTGACTGGGCCATCACAAAACAAGAAACAGCAGTTTATTCTCTTCAGCAGACATGTGATTGCCAACTCAAGGAGGGTCACATGGGCAAGAAATACATACAAAATTTCACTTAGAGAACCTCAATGGAAGGAAGGATTTGGAAGTCACATGGCAAGATAATATTAAAGTGCATCCTAAAGAGATCAGGCAAAGCAGTGTGGACCAGATTGATCAGGATCAGGATATGGCCGGGTGGCAGACTGATGTGAGCATGGTAATACATCATCAACTTACAAAATGGCAAAAATCTTCTTGACTAGCTGTGGTACCATTAGCTTCTCAAGCAGGACTCTATTTTAAGTGCAGTAAATTCTGCATTATCTGGCATGTATGGAGAATGGGGTGTGCTGGTTACATGAGAAGAACTCTTACAGAAACGTGATACTAAGTCAAAACAACAACAGGTTTCCATTTTGACTCTTGCATTGGAGTTCCCTAGGTAACAAAGCAGATCAGTGAGTGAAACATTCAGCTAGCCTCTGTATGAGGAAGGAAGACAGGTAGTGTTGTAGGTGGTGGATGGGAGAACTATCAAGTGGTCCATGACCATACACTCATCACAAATTTGTTTTCGAATAACTTTAAAACACCACAAATTTCCTTTGAAAATTTTTGCCAGTTCAATGAACATTCCAGATGCTTGGATACCAGATAAATGGGAGTTTACTGCAGTTAGTCACAGCTCAGATGTTTCTCACTTATGCCATAGTCTTGGAGACAATCAGTTTGTGGGGCCTAATTATGAGCTGCCATGTTTCCACATCATGCCTCATGTCAAAGTTTTGGGTTTAAGAATGTTTGCCATGATGACAAACTTTGTAAGTCATGACGGTCATAATCAGTGGTTCTGCTTCATACCTCAAGGCTCCGTATTTGAATTTCAGACAGAGACCATTCATGAAAAACATTTCTTGTACTTTTCTTGATTCCCCAGAGAAATGCTTACGAGGTCAGCAGAATTTTCTTCCAAATTCTTCCAAATCACAATTTGTAATCATCTTGCCAAATGACATCACTCACCACCAACTAGAGCCAAGATAAAGAAAATGTGGATCTATACATCCACTCCTCCATATGCCTTCATGGTGTAGTGCTTAATTAGTTAAGCACAGGGACAACTTCACCTTTACTTTACCTTGCCGAATGACATTACAGATCCCATGACGTTTATAAAAATTCATTAAACAAACATGGCAGTGAGATGAATGAGGCTTTAGAGGCAGTCAGTTGCTTTGGCCTTGCTGAGAAGGATGGACTGCCAGAAGACCACAACCAAAGAGTTGAGACAACTGAGCAGAAACAAACACAAAATATTTTGGCGCTCCACTTTCCCCGAATAAATTTCAATTATAATAATACAGGATTCTGAACTCTTCTTCAGATATTAAGCATGAGTAGGCAGCAGAGATTCAGACCACACCATGAGCCCTGCTCCTGTGGAACAATGATTAAGATGGCTCCACCTGTCAATGCATGATACAGCATGAGAACCACTTAAAATATTTTCATGAGATCTGAAAGTGAGGACTTCCTACTAAGACTTTTTACCCATACAGTTTAAGTTAAAATCAGACGACAATAACAAACATTTTACATTAACACCTGCGTGTGTTTCTGTGTTTCTGCAGGTTTCTCAAGCATAACTTGCTACATATTTATCGGAGCACAAAGTATCTCGAACAAAAGTTCAGGTCACATAAAAACAAGCATTCTATACCCAACACAGTCTTTCAGTAAGTCTTACAGTTTTTGAAACAACTAAATTGAAGATATCCATGTGCCAGAACTGCTACAGTGTGTGTGTTTCCTAACTTGTTCTCACAGTATTTGGAATGGTTTAGGGTTGACCTATCATACATGTTATCCTTGCAACAGTAGCATGAAGCTGACCATTCACAACTGAAACTATTGTGGGCCCTTTAACTTGACCCCTTTCACTGTTCACATGAGCTGTCACTACTTGGAAAAGGTCTACAGGCAGTAGATGCACGCCACAATATTGATAACAAACACTACTCACAACTCCCTAACTCCTCTCCAGTCCTGGTTCTGTCTTCTGCTCATCTGGTTTTGCAAATACAGGAACATACAGCGCATCTTTATCTGACGAATATGACAATGTCTTTGACTCGCGACGCTCTTGTTCACTCTGCCACTCCACCTACAAACAGGGAACAGCAACTTCACTACATATCAGGGAAACTACAAAACAGTAATTTCCATACAGAGATAATTGTGTGCTATTGTGTCATTATATATGTCAACAGTCAAGAGCTGGTAGCAATGAACAAAAGCATAACCCAGGTAACACACAAAATATCTGAGATGATTTGGTTTGTTGCTATTTTACAGCGAAGTCAGTATATAAAATGTAGAATCATAGGATAACTAATGAATGATTAACTGAAAAGGATTTGGAAGGAAGCAGTCACAGTCTAATCAAGGTACTGCCCCAGAATTTACCTGGACAGACCATGGAAAACCATGAAAATCCTCAGTCAGGCTAGCCAATGGGTGGGTCAAAAATACAACCAAGTACGTACCCCCCTAAGACAAGCGCACAGTGTTATTACTATGCCAACCTGCTCGGTGTGAAATATCTGAGACAAACTTACGGGAAAATAAGAAGGGATAGAATTAGAAACAAATTATTTCAACAATTTGACCCCGTGAAAAGAATAGAAAGAATGATGATACCAAAAAGGTCTTTATAATTAAAATTTAAAGTGAAGAGACGTATCGGAAGACCCAGAACACGATGGTTCAGCCAGGAACTGGAAGACAGGAAAGAGCTGGCACGAAATTGACAAAGAATGACTGTGGGAAAGTAGAAGACACTGGAGACTTTTTGTCCATGTTGTTAGAAGAAAAGGGAGCTGATGAAATGACAATGACAAAGCAGACAAAAGGATGATCTATGTGGGAGATAAATAAACTGACATCACACAAAACTTGAAGATTCATAAGTTCTGCTGGCAGGGTTATTGTGTTCCATTACTGGAATCTGACACATCAAGTCAGGCAAATAACAAAACATATGTCTGCATTATGATTATCCTCTGTATAATTCTGTGAACTTGCAACTAAAATACCGCACCTTCTGCCTGTGTTGTGTTACAGCATCCATCACCCGGTCCATGACCATCTGTTCTGTGAGGACGCCATCCTCTGAAGCGTATGCTGCAGCCTGCCATGCAACACCCAGCTTGGCAATCTCTCGCCCTGACATTCCTTCTGTCATGCTGGCGATCTGAGAGCACAGCAGCCCATAGTCGAACTGTGCCAGCTTCAACCGTCTGCACAAAAACTGCCATAACTTAGCAGGATTCTTATGTGATATGATGATGCTGTTTCGATTCAGTTACTTTTCTGCTTTACTTCACGATGTCAGCAAGTGAGATTTTACAGTCTCAAATGTTTGGATAATACTGAATAATGAATTGCAAAGGATATGGAAGGAACAGTTAACGGCTTAATTTAAGGTACAATGCTGGAATTTGGCCAGAGGGACTGAGGAATACAATGGAAACTTCAGCGAGGAGAGTCAGAACCCTGGCTGGGAGTTGAACCAGGCACTTCTCACACAAAGTCAGAAATATTATTAGTTGAAACCATTTGCTTGGTCGATACTGCTTCGTATTATGCTGTGATATGAGGAACTGAAGAGGATAATGAATGGTGAAGGGGTAAACATCTGGAAGGAAGTGATCATAGACTAATTCAAGACTTTACCTTGGCATTGCCTGATAACACTGACGGCAGCTACAAAAATCCTCAATCAGGACTGCCAGTATTTTGGTCAAAATCTGAACTGACTACTGCATGAACACAAGTCTACAGCATCATCACCGCAATAACCTCTGAGAGCTGATGCTCTTACAGTGTTGACACTGACAATTACTGTCTTCTGGGACATGGCACTGTGCAGTGAACCTGCTGGCCTCCTTCAAGGTAGTTTCTATACTGACGATGGGCACAGTAGGTTCCGCCGAAACACAGATACATATCCACCATACAACACAGCAACATTATGAGAGAACGGGGTTGGATGTTTCTAATATACAGATGTAACAGGTAACATAATAAGGGCAACATGATTTGTTTTACCTTCTTCCTTCCATTGCTGGTTTCAGTACAAATTGGTCAAAGTATAGGCGAACTAAACGTTCACGTTCTTCGCGTCCTGGGAGGCTAAATTCAACCATCTCATCCAGACGATCATTCACAGCCCAGTCAAACTGCTCTGGAGTATTTGAAGCCAGAACTAGCATAAACCTGCACAAAACATAAGCTCTTCAGTTATGAACTCCTACAGGAAGACCACAACTCCACAGACAAGGGGCACACTTACTTGTTTGACTGTTCACCTGTGCGGTACAGGAAGGCATTCAGCGTGGCACGAAGATCCTCACTGATTGTCTCAGAACTCCTTTTTCGTAGGAAAGCATCTGCCTCGTCAACGAAGAGAAGAAGTCCTTTGCGTGTTGTGCCAGCCCAGTCAAACACCTTGTGGATTGCTGTCACACCTTCACGTCCCATTGGGGCCACATCACCGCCTGTCATGATCGCGTAGTCCATGCCAGAATGTGTTGCCAGTTTCTATACAATGTAAATAAGACAGCTGTGGAGCACATGACTGCACTGCCCATTCCTGGGCATATGTTAGATCTAAGCAGGGCAGTATCTGCAGTAATGGGTTGTCAGTTTGTTGTTATGTCAATTCCATGGGGGGGGGGGATGCAAAACTAATCTATTTGCAATGGGCCCAAAAGATAGCAGCAGTAAGTGGCATGGTTTCCGCTGGTATCAGTGTTCACCTTTCCCAGAAAATAAGATACATCTAAAAACCAGTTGTTCTCAAGCAGTTCTGCCACGGGTGCATTTAAAAGTTACAAACATGTTCTGTGGCCACATAACTTCCTATTATCTTTCACACATAGAATAAATCCTGTAAAGAAGATTGTTATTAAGAGTATCTTCTGACATGTGATCTCATGTAGTCTGGTAAAGACGTCTCGGAAGCGAGTAGACTACAGCCTCTGGAAAACCGCAAATCCAAAATGATCATTAATTGTTTACATGAAAGCACAAGGAGAAAGTGATTACTGTAATTTACAGAAGTTCACTAAATGCGAACATGTTCAGTGGGCACTCTCCCACAGGGAACATGGCACATTTCTTTCAAGAAATGAAGGAGAATGCATGAAGCCATGTAGCACCCATGTAAAATGGTCAGCGAATTTAGAGAAGATAAATGAAAATTTGTCGCCGGATTTGCAAAGTGAAAAAGAAAAAAAAAAAACTTATTAGTCATGAAAACAGCTTGAGGCTGCACTCAGGCATGGCTCCTTATAATGCTTATTCTATAAAAGTCTCTTTGCAGAACTTTTCAAGTTCAGTGTGCATACTGACTGAACTCATGATTTCAAAATATTGCTCAAGGGCCTTAATGTATTAGAGCGGATTTGGAAACCAGTTACGGAGGGCAATGTCATATTTTCCAGTCAAATTTTCAACATGCATTTTATCAGTAATTTTAAATAGCTGACACGAGATGCATGTATGGGGCTTGCGTGAACACGGTAACGAACCTTCAGGTTCCGTAAGATGTTGGCAATTCCTTGAGTAGCTGCACAACTGGCAGCTTCTAAAGGAGGGCTCAACTCCATAGAGTTAATTAGTTGGAGAACTGTGAAGAAAGACTGCATCCTAAGCGCCATTATTGGTGAGGTGCTGTTACCTTTGCAAACATTGTCTTCCCAGTACCAGGGGGACCATGCATAAGGATATTCCTGTACATTCCACGGTTCCGTTTTGTGTTCTTTGTTGCTATTGCGATGTCCCTGAAACAAAAGACAAATCCTTGTGGGGCACTGCTAAATTAGCAATGACAAACACCAAACTGTAGAAAATGTTCAACCCTTCATATTGTTGCAGTACTTAACAAAATATATTTTCTTCTGAAGGAGGCTGTAACACTGCTTCTCCATGACCTGTATCCTTCTTCATGACAGATGCCCATTCTTCTGTATTATTTGTCATTTCCCTCCATCTTTCCAGTTTAAGCTACCCTAAATCATTCTCTACATCTTCCAAGCATCTCAATGTGAGCCTCCTCACTATTCTCTTACCTTACAGCTTATTTTCAAAACTGAATGTCATTGTACTGCATACTTCACATGCATGAGTTTGTATTGGAGAGAACAAATTAACCACTGACATGAACAAAGGAGATTTATTCATTTAATTAATTATGACTTTCTAAATGATGCTGTCAGATGATAGGATGATCACTGAATAATGTATTACAGAATATATGGAAGGAAGCGATCCTGGCATTTGCCTGGAGGCACTGAGGAGAATCACAAAGAACCCTCAGTCATGGTAGTTTGTTTCTGGCTGAGACATGAACTGAGGACTTTCTGAATACAGAGCAGGAATGCTAACCACTCAGTAATCAGAAATGATGATAAACGACATGACAACACAGAAGGTTGGATAATGACTCTACCGAGTACAATTACATTTTAGGTGCCATGTTTGGCTTAGATATTTTACAGTGGCCAGGATCGCCCCTTGAAGATGATATTCTGTTTTGTGTTACCTACCTGAGTCGCTCCTCCAGCTTGGGGGCAAGCACAACGCCAGAGAGGGCATCTTGCGTCCTGAATCGGGAGAATACCTTCTGCACTGACTGCACCGGGTGCCTTAACACCTCCATCAGAGAGAATCGAGATGTTTCGCGCACAAGAGAGGGTTTGCCTGCAAATCAGATATGCAAATTGATATACCCATTCAGCCTTAAAAAGGTTTGCGATCCTTCAACTATTTACTGCATTTCAAAAGAGAAATAAAATGCCTTAAGGTGACATTCACTACTCAGGGAATAACACCCAGCTGTTCATAAAGATAAACTGAGGAAGGTGTCTCACCAAGTCTGGCCTCTATGTGTCTAGCTGCTACCCCTGTAGTCCCTTTGGCCGAGTATACACCAAGAGCGAGCAGGGATATACCACCAGCAGCTGCGAGAATCTTGTCCCAGTCAGCCAGGAGAGCATGGACCCCAGTCCCAAGCACAGACCCAGCTGTCCTGCACACGAATGTAATAATAAGCATGGGACCCATTTATCTGACAACACCCTCAGTAGCTCAGATTACTGAGGGCCAGATGGACGGATGGTCTGGAAAGGATGTGGAAACAAGTAATTATGATACAGGAACAACAAACAACAAAGAAGAAGAAAAGAATTTGAGGGAATTTTGCAGATGAATGGTTTGTGAAGATCTAATGAAGAGTATGATACTGGGGCACTTTAAAAATGAAGACAGTATCCCAAAGAAGCTTTTGAACATGAAACTAAAAGGAAAACACCCAAGAGATGAAATTTATTGTAGAAGCAACAGGTTAGGAAAGATGTCACACAAAGAAATTTAGAATGAGAAGCTTTAATAAGCCAGAAATAAGTGCAGAGGCTTGGCTACAAGATGACCCAGATAAAACAGAAGTCTAAGAACGAGCATGTAGCAGATTGCCTGAACAATAAAACAAAAGGGGGACATACTGGCGGGTGTAGACAACGGGCCTAAATGAGATACTCACTTGATGGACTCCAGAACGGTGACCCTGTTCTCGGCAGCCTTCAGCCTGATCTGCTCAAGAGTCAGATCCTGGTTTTCTCTATCCACCTTTGCCTTTGCTCGAAGTTCTGCTTCCACTCTCTTCATTTCATTCTTATGCCTCAGGTCCATCTCGTGCTCAATTGTGGCCCTCCGCATTGCTTCCTGCTTTGCCACAGACTCCTCCTGCCGCCGAAGATTCTCGTCATTGATTCGCTGTTGCTGCTGAAGCTGGTCTTCATATCTTAAATTGAAGAATAAACAGCATTTGCCTGCATGGGCTAAAGGAATATCCAAGAAGAACATCAGTCAGGATAAACCAAACATGCGTCAGATGTGTTACCACCCAGTGGGCTTGGCTGTCTCTTGTTATTCCTATTGAAGGGCAAGAAATCATACTTCAGTTGCCTCAATTCTGCTTATCTGAGGATTACCACATGAGAGTACTAATGTAGGTTCATTTCGTACTGGGTGGAAAGGAAAAAGTTTCTAAGAATAGAGACATATATTCCAGTACACAAAATCAACAATACAGGAATATTTTCCATGCGTTTAAATCATTTCAAGGCACGATGTGTCAACAACAAACAGACCCTTACAGCTGTGATATTACCAACCTTTTCCGGGCCAACTGATCCTGATACTGAGCGCGAATCTGGTTTTGTTTTGTCTCCTCTTGCAAAGTTTTCCGCTTCTCCTCTCCGTCAACCCTCTTCTGTTCAACCTTGGTGTGTTCAATATGTGCTTCATATTCCTTCATTCTGGCAAAATATTCCTGTTGCTTTGTTTGCTCTTGTTGTTTCGACAGCTCCAGGGCTTCCTTTGCAAATTCTAAAATGTGAGAAAACATATGATGAAACACACCACTCCTATTACACTTCAAGCCTTCCTTCTACATTCCACTACAACAGGTGCCACAATGGATACTTCAGTCTACTTACCATTCCGATTATGATATGTAACTACTTACTTGATCTTTCTAGATCCTTTGCAGCTTGAGCAGCTCTCTCCAAAGCAGAGGAATCGAACCGGTATGCTTCCATGGCCTTTTTCGTGTTTTTATCGTCGCCGCCTCCGCTGCCACCACCTTCAGCAGGTGGTACGGGGATCTGTGGTGCTTCTGGGGGCGGTTGGTTTCCCCTATATCCAAATAACCACGACATTTTCACTTAAATGCCTAAAACTAAATTCACCGGATAGATCCCCACGAGGTACCCTACCAACACTCCTAGTGTCCTGGTGTGTAACTTGTGCGCCATTTAACCAATGGGCGCTCTCCAGTGATAATAAGGACGGATGATCAATTCTATTGGTTACTGTACACCAGAGAATATAAACTGTAAACAGACAGACGACAAAACAAAAATTCCAGCAAAATTTATGTTTTAGTGTCATAATTAATGCTCGACAAGCAAAATGTCCGTTCATAAACATATATTTGATTCCCAATAGGTATTACAACACTATATTCCTTTCTATGTGGTCTCAGTACGATAATCGATTAACAAGCTGACATCTAGTGGTCGAATCATGGTAAGCGAGATTACGTTTGATTGATTATGACATCTAACGGTGAGTTCCTAGTACTATCTTTCAACGAAAAAGAGCTCAGAAGTCACCCGGGGATTTCAACGTTTAAAACATGTCCTCCCAGTTAATTCACTGCGTGTGTGGTATTTTGATACCAACGTTGGGGAGGAACGTACTGTTTCCATCTTCAGGGTAACGGTTTTTGTTTGAACGTAATCAAATCACTTCTGCCAACACTGATCATATGTATATATTGAAACATGCGGAACTCCCTTTCAATTTCTTATCAATTTTATTGTGGATAAATAATTTTTCACACAGGATATAAGAGTATGAAAACTGCCGATCTATACTGATCCTTTGAGGATTTCTCCTCTATGATTCTTCAACCTGCTCCTTTTCCTTCCAATGTGAATGAAAAATCTTTTTCTAGTCTTTATCGTTGGTACACTCTACAGCTTTTCATTCTCACCTCCTCCTTTGTTCACAGTACCATTCATTTCTCATGCCATTTCTTCCTAATAACTTGCATTTTCCATCCTATATACATACCTGAACCATGCGAGCTGTGAACTACTTTTTCTGTTCATTCAGTAGTGACCAGAATACAGGTTGTATAACTAGGGAATCGGGGTTCAATTCCCTAAAAGGTCAGGATTCTTTTTGTCCCCATAGTGACCAACCAGACTGGCTCTGGGTTCTCCCAGGCTCCTACCCAGTGGGTACTGGAGGTTTTTCTCCAGAGGTAGAGCAGCTGGGATATGAGGCTAAGCACTCACCTGAATCAAGATTCAAGCTTAAGAACATGTTGAACTACACCCCAGCTCCCCTGTACATCTTCATGGCATGGTGCTTTATTTTGCATACAGACCAACTTTTACAATGAATATTTATTTTAACTGTCAATAAACATGAAGAACAGTACAAACTTGTAGAATACAGTTTGTCTGAACAGGATAGTGTGCACTGCATCTATATTTGATGTTCTTATAGCAGTAAATACATCATCATTCACAGAAGCGTGGCAACTGATCTCCAGAGACAGTGAATCTCTTGACACCTTCCTCACTGATGTCTGCAAGCCTTACAATACCACCACTTGCTCCATCACGGCTCATCGCAAGGGCGAGGGCTGCAACACAAAAGCCACACAACCTCATTACATCTGAGAATTCATATCAGACTAAACACTATGGCATAGTTGTTGCAGTACAATGCAAACATGGGTGCCATCAAGGGACAGGGAGAAAGCCATGCATGTGAACCCCCAATGTTCTTTTTGGTGGGGATCGAAACTGTAATTTTTTTAATTCACTTAGTGGAGGGTGGAGTCCAACTGGGTTCACTCAGCATGGCAGCCACTGATTGGCCCATTGTAGCCTGCCCCGGGTGATTATGATGGAGAATTTGGTGCAATGAAGATTGGCAGGAGAAACCGAAGTACCAGGAGAAAACCGGCCCCAGCGCCAGCTTGTCCACCACAAATCCCACTTGACCAGACCCAGGAACAAACCTGGGCCGCCACAGTGGGAAGCCAGGAACTAACCGCTTGAGCTATGGCGTGGCTGATCAAAACTGTAAATAGGAAATGTACCAAAATTAAAAGTATTTTTTTCTTAAATGAAATTTCTCTGATATATAGAATACTCAACAATGATCACAAAACCAGTCTTAGATTGCTTAAAATGGAGTAAAAGCTAAAGTAGTTCCTGTGCTTAATTAAGCACTATGCCATGGAGGTGTATGTGGGAGTGGATGTATAGACCCTCGTCTTCTTGACCTCAGCACTAGTTGGAGATGAGTGGTCAGCTTTATGCCAAGGCCGCTTTACCACAGGGGAAAGGGACCCTGGTACCCATTGGACAGGAGGCTGGATGGGCCCCAGAGCCAGTTGCACAACACAGAGAAGTGAAAATTCTTGCCCCCACTGGGAGTCAAACTCCAGCCCCTTGGTCATCCAGTCTGTAGTGGCTTATAGCAGAAATTTTTCTGGGGGCCGAAATTTTTTGTGAAGGAAATGCATTCATTTAAGTAGGTAAATTTGTGCCTGATCAGTACATACTATTGGTAACAAACTCCAGACATTCCTTCTTGTCCATACCACTCCTGTAGTGTGCATCAACATAACCATACACATATGTGCTGCCAGAACCTCCAGTTGCGAATGGCTGCCTTACGCGCATCCCGCCAATAGGCACAGAATATACCTGAACACAACCACAGAGATCTCATAAGCATATCTAGTAAGCCCAAATCAATTAATAGCAGGTAACACAATCCATGGTAACAACAATTCTGTTTCTGGTAATAGTGACCAAGAAATTTCCTGATGAGTTGTAATGCTGTGTAATCTGGAGAAAGCCCAACACTTCAGAGGAGCATATACCCCAATGTTCTGGGTCAGTAATCCAAGCAAGAACCCAGCAAGAAGCGGGTGACTGAAATGTCAGGCTTCATCCAAACAACCCAGAATTGCATAAGCTTCATAATCACTGCTGTGAGAAACTCAAATGTAACAAGAAATTTCTTGCTGAGATTAAAAAATATTCTTGGAAGTGCAGTCATGACGTCCAGCACACAGATACCAACATTTTGTAGAAATGTACTCCTTCCTTATTTAGGGTGGAAAATGGGGACCGTAGTTTCCTTCAGAATGTTGAAAATGTTGGTACCTATGTATCACATACCTGAAGACCATCATCTTAATATTCACTACTGTGAGAACCTCAACATAAAATTGCCTGTTATTACCATAACACACATGTTCATCATGATGAACACAAAAACATGTTTCTCTAACATCCATTTCAGTGCTGCCCTCACATCCAAGAGTATGTCTTCCAATTGTTTCTTTCATTTAATGTGTTCAGTACATAAAATGCACAAGTTGAAACCACCAAAGGGATACTATAATGACCAGTGTCTGTCTAGCCCCTTGAGTCATCTTTGGAACCACTGAAGATATTTCAGTATCGTTTGGTACAACTGATCTATGCTGACATCTGTCCCACAAATTGGATTCTGACTCACTTGTTCACTATATTATGTACTTTACAGAAAGTGAAATATTTATCACTTTTCACATAAAGTATCCACATGAAACAGGTACATTTGGCATGTACAGGGAAGGGGATGTTTCACCTACAGCAACATACTGACTGCATGAAAAGAACTCTTACAGAAACCAAAATATAAGTACATTGCAATTTTCACCACTTCCCAGTATTTTTTTAATATATTTTCATCTTCTGTTTCAAAGACAAAACCGCCGCACTTTCATTTTAGTTTCTGCATAGGCGCCTACTGAGGCAGCACATCGGATTTATAAAACAAACATTTCAGACGTGCTGCAACATTATCAAAAATTCACCTAGCCTCTACCATGCCACCTGCATGAGGATGACAGGTAGCACTGCTAGTGGTAGCTGGGAGAACTAGTGTATGACAGATGAGCATATACAAATAGCAACTTTATAAACAATGGGAAATTTTCTTCGAAATTTTTGTCAGTTGCATGAGAATTCATGTTGCATGAATACTGGATAAGAAAAAGTTTACTGTGTCATACAAAATGCAAGTTTCATTAGACTCCGCATCTTTCAATGCAATGTAACCAATCAACTAACTCCACACAGGAGACTGTGAAACACTGCTAACTGCCTACCAAACTATGTGGCACCAAAAGTGAGGAGACGGTAATCTTAAAGCACACTATGTACCTGACCACCCTTCCTCTTGTCCCAGCCAGCAACCAGGATTGCTGCAGTGAGAGAGTCTCTGTAGTTGTAGCACAGTTCACGGAAAATATTTGCTGCTGTTTCCACTAGAGGGGGCTCCCCAAGCTCAACCCTTCACAAAGAAAGTACAATCATTCACTTTTGCATAAATACGACCTATCGCACCTCCTTGCTGACGGCACACTCGTATGTCTCAGACGAACTAGCAAAATCTGCCCACAAAGTATTTGCCTTCTAACTGATCACACAAAGCAGTGGCATGGCTGCAGGTTCCGGTGACTCCCCATGAACAAGTGTCAAAATTACCCACCAGTTACCTAATACTACATTGAGGCTACGGAATGAAGGCCCTTGGATTGACTACCTCCACATCTCCCTTTAGTGGTCACACTGCTGTATAGTCAGTCGCTTACAATCACCTACTCTTTCTGTTCAGAGATAACAGCTACCAATGGGCAGTTTGGGCTGGAGGGGGAACAAAATAGTAAGTGAAGGGTGGATACTGCTGCACGTGTGTGTCAAAAGCTAATAAAATATATGAAATGTACATATATAATGTACCACTTAAGGTGCATAAAATATTTCATTTTGATGTTCTGTTCACTTAACTTTTACTGTACTAATTTATTTTCTGCGTCTTACGCAAGCAAAATACTTCATTATTTTATTTATATTCCCTTTTGAATTTAAATATTAGTCAAACCAATTCTCAGGAATGTCCTCGATCTCTTACTGATGTAATTTTGTTCCTGGGTTCTTATACCAGGTGGTTTTGAGAAGTACTGCCAGTGATTCAGAGGTGCATGCTGATACATGAACCCTGAAGACGGAGGCAGCATGTGCCTCTGAAGAGATGGTGCCATCACCCACAGACACACAGTGTAACAACTCAAAAACAGAATCAACACAAATAATTATTCACTGTGAAAGGCTAAAATCAGTGTCAGGTATTGTTTAAATTGTGACTGCAGTGTCATCTTTTGTCTAGATTTTGAACTGCTCTGAAATCAATTAATGGGACCCTCAGTGCTTTGCACCCACGCGAAATGCAGTGTCCTCTCTTCAATGGAGGAGACAGGAGGAGACAGAGCAAACTACTCCCAAAAAATGCATTTGGATTTGTGTGTAAAACGTTAGTTACTTTTGTCCAATTATAATAAAAATTGAGTTGTCCAATTTTATTACAACTCTGTAATATAAACTGTGAACAAAAATTGATCCAGTGGAAGGCAAGTTCCTCCATGCATGCAGTTAGACAAACATAAGAAATTTACTAGGCACTTTTTGTGTAATAATGTTAAAACTGTTCAAGCAGAACAGCACAAATAACTCATCACTGTATTGTAAACATGGGCATAAAGCTCTACTACTGTAATATAAATTCCTGAATCTATACTATGTCACTATATTAACTACACGAGTTATAAAGTGATATAACTGGAGAATTTGAAGACATGGACAGATGTGGCACTATTCTAATATTTGCATTTCAGGAGTGATAACAAGAAACCCACCAATAGAAACCATTCCAGACAGCAGATATATCTTGTATAAGAAGCTTAAGTACCATACACCATATCGCAAAGTTGAATAATTAATAAATACTGAGAAACAGGCACTCTGCATTCACTGTACGGAAATCATGTTATGTTACATATAGTCAGAATTCAACACACTGGAATGTAAAGAGATAATCCACCTGGTAATGCCAAACACTTACGAGTGGAAATTAAGGTGATATTTGACAATATCTGAAATTGCCAATGTGTCAGCTGAAGACCCAGATCGACAGCAGTATATGCGATCCGTTATTTTAGTCAATTTGTCACTAACACGATTTGCAACGTATATTCCTGTTGTAGAACGAGAATCAGCTCCAATCACAACACCACCCTCATATTCAATAGCCATGATCGACGTCTGAAAGAGAAATATAAGGAATCTTACACAGGAGATAATTATTTCATGAATATTTACGCTCAAGGAGACCCGAAAATGGGTTTCGGCCAGTTCGGTTTGCTTGCCTGCACTTTTCGAATATTTGTTTTCCAGGAGCCCACAGTTGGTTAAGGTAAGCTTCAGCTGAATTAAAAGTGGGTGTAAATATCGCTCTCCGATACGTCAGTATTCCTCCGTCATGTGTTCGCAACACCACGTTTCTAATTAAATTCTGAATATACTACTATGCACTTACATTTTTGGAAAATGATTCTGCATTTAGCATTAGCAACGAAAAAACATTTCTCAAGTTACTGCAAAACATCAATGCTTTTTGAAGACGTTATTGTAAAATGTTAAGTTACTTACTCCGGTCTCGTGTTCCGTCGAGAGCCATTCAGGACCCAGAGAATCTCCATGAATGTCAGCTGTACGGCCAAAATGCATAGTCTCAAGACACGCCATTTTCAATCGCACAATGAATAAGATGAAAATGACGAGGGCAAATGAGTGATCAGGGTCATAAACTGTAGAATATTGATTAAATTTTGAAGATGACATTAATCTGGTCCTTCGTAGATTATTTTACTTTAAGTAAAATGGTATATGCATAAAAATATAGGATGGTTAATATTTAAAATAATATCTGCATTTATTTTAATCCCTCTGGATATCCATTCATGATTCATACTACATGTTTGGCAGCCTGGTATCGCCTGGTTCCTATGTTTCGATACATATGGCCAAAAGACTTCTACTATTGGCTAGAAATGTGACCTATCGGAGCATAGTTTAAGGATCGATTTGGATCTCTCGATTTACTTCCACCGGTTTGATTCTTAATTCGTTTTGTGCTGCACTCTATGGGGATTTGCCTATCACCTGTTGATACCATCAGTTGGTCGTCGTCTGTTCGTGTGGTAGGAATATCGACAATTTTGTCCCGCCAAAACTGTTGATATTTTTTTAAAAACTCCGGACACTATCAGTGTGATATTTTTTGTGATTTTGAACGAGATAGTGACAGAAGTTGGGCCTGAACAGAAGGGAGAGTTCCAGACAACTCTCCAGCAATGATGAAATAAACGAAGGTAAGTGAAGTAATTACATTACATAAGTGTGCCGGCTCTGTCTCGTGAGAACATGAAAGGTTTGGGTTGTTGGGAGAGGATGTCAATCAGCTTGCGATACTTGGAACAGCGTTACTGTTCGTAAAGTTATATTAATGCTGAGTGCACGGTGTGGTGGAGGTTGTTGATGTGTGCCTCTTTATTTATTGACTGAGGGATAATGTTCATACTGATAACATACCACTGAAGCGACTGGACGTGCATCTCGCTCACGCGGTTTGTTTACAGGCTGATGCCCAGATTTTAAAGCACTGCGTTTACTGTGTGCATCACCTGCCTTGATATAAAACCAACTCTGCGTCATTTAATCTGCAGAGTGCAAATTTATGTCTTATATGATTTTTACAATGATGTGGAACTACTGGGAGATAACATAGATACCAGAAAGAAAACCACAGAAACTTCAATTGACGCTAGTAAGGAGGTTGGTATAGAAGTAAACACAGAGAAAACTAAGTAAATGTTGTAAGATTTGAGTAAATGTTGCTGTCTCGTCACCAAAATGCAGGGCAAAATCATGACATAAACATAGCTAACAGATCCTTTGAAAATGTGGCTCAGTTCAAATATTCGGAAACAAGAGTAACAGTCAACATTTGATTCAAGAGGAAATTAAGAGGAGACTGACTCTGGGTAATGCCTACTACAATTCAGTCCAGAACCTTTTGTGTTCTCACGTGCTGTCTAAAAACATAAAAATTAGAATATATAGTTTTTTATTATGCTTCCTTATAATTACATCATTACAGAGTATTAAGTAAATATGTTGTAGGTGCTTAGCTTCAAATTAGAATATACAAAACTATAATTTTGCATGTGGTTCTGTAAGGGTGTGAAACTTGGTCTCTGACATTAAAGGGGGAATACAGACTGAGGGTGCTGAGGAGAATATTTTGACCGAAGAGGGATGAAGTGACAGGAAGTTGGAGAAAACTGCATAATGAAGAGCTTCATAACTTGTACTCTTCTCCAAGTATAATTAGAATGATCAAGTCAAGGAGGGTAAGGGGGGCAGGGCATGTAGCAGGAAAGGAGGAGACGAGGAATGCATATAGGATATTGGTGGAAAAGCCAGAAGGAAAGAGACCACTGAGAATACCAAGGCATAGGTGGGTGGACAATATTAAAATGGGTCTTAGAGGGATAGGATGAGATGGTATTGATTGGATTGACCTGGCTCAGGATTGGGACCAGTGGAAGGGTCTAGTGAACGCGGTAATGAACCATCGGGTTCCATAAAATGCTGGGAAGTTCTTGAGTAGCTGCACAACTGGCGGCTTCTGAATAAGGCCTCACCTCCATGAAGTTAGTTAGTTATGATTTTTGCAATAAGGAGCGATTAATGTCCTAAACAGGATTAACCGGCTGGTGTTCTCGATGGCGTTTGAAACGGAAAGTAGAGAAACCATGCCTGAGGGCTTCGTCACGTATATCAGTCCATTGGAACGAATGTTCATTAAAACTGGTACAGCCGGAAGGTCGCAGGTTCAAGTCCTGATGAGGTCATTGGATTTTTTCAGTTGACCTAATCCTTCCAGCCGCACTATGGCCCTGGGGTCGACTCAGCTTCTAACAGAAATGAGTATCAGGAATTAAATAATTTTACTGAGGAGTAAAGCGCGGCCGGTGCTTAAGGCTGACAACCTCACCGCCATCTGTGAGCCGATTGTCTAGATAATGTGGGACCCTCAACGTCTCACAACCCTATGGGCCTTCACGGCCTGGCACAGGGATAGCTTTACTATTTCTTTTACTTTACTGGAGAACCGGGATAGCGCAGTCGGTATAGCGACTGGCTGCGGGCTGGACGACCAAGGGGTCGGATTTCGAGTCTCAGAGGGGGCAAGAATTTTCTCTTCTGCATGTCGTCCAGACCGGCTGTGGGGCCCATCCAGCTTTCTAACCAAAGTGTACCTGGGATTATTTCCTCGGGCGTATAGCGGCCGGTGCGTGAATGTCACCACTCAATTCCAACTAGTGCCGAGGTCAAGAAAATGTGGATCTATACATCCACTCCCCCATACGTCTTCATGGCGTAATACTTAATTAGCTAAGTACAGGGACAACTTTACTGTTTACTGGAGGGTTGTACTAAAATTTGTTTGCATGTACGAATTTCGGATGAAATGGGACAAAAAGCGAACACGTTACACAGAGGTCTACACGCGTTTCTGCACGCGCATGTAACTTAACTCGCGAGATATTTGTCGGAGCGAGACATGTTCTGTGGAGCGAATGGAAAGAGACATTGGGTGTTAAACGAACTTCCTGTATAAATCTTATAGTGTTCGAGGTAATTACAGAAACAGCTTTGTCGTCTTCAACCGCTGGACCGATTTTGATCAACTTCTTTACCGGAGGCCCTCGTTCGTCTTCTGCTCCTGCTTTGTACCATCTACAAGAGAACATCCGAAAATCTCGAGCCATAACAGAGAGAACGCACCAAAATCGTTACACTGTGCATACTTTCGCATCAAATTGAACTGGCCTTTTATTTAGACGAATTTTTTGCTTATAAGGTTTAGCGACGCTGTTTCAACTGTAAATATGATACCATCGAATTAGATGTAAGTGTGTACTCGTAAATGAAACGTAAGTAGGTGAGGATTTGGAAGGAGTGTTTATATCAGGTTACTATCCCGGTATTCTAGTGAAGATTCTGAGGAAAATCTCGAAATCCTCAGTCAGAAAAATCGGAAATTCTCCCGAAATTCGAACTCGATGCCTACAGAATACAAAATTAATGCTTGCCGCTGTACGACACCCGCTCTGTGCTTCGTTCAATGACACCTTATGAAATGTGTGGACTACTTGCACGGAGTAACACCACTTCGTGCTGTGAGGACCTGAAATCCAACACTGGAATCGGTTCTTTAGACACGTGATTAGTGCAGATTATATTGTAGTGCACTGAGGATAATTCTGACACCGGCTAGCCTGGCGGAGGGTTTTCGTAGTTTTCCTCCGTTCCTCCACGCAAATTGCGGGATAGTATTTGGATTGGGCCACGACTACTTCCATCAAAATCATTATTAGTCATCGGAAATTATTTCTGTATACCATTGACACATGTTATTGTGTGCAAATATGTCGAGAGTGTTGTCTGATTGAAGGCAGTTACCCTCATATTTAACTGGAGGCAGGAAGGTGAGTCCTGTGAGCGTTGGTTTGTGTTGCTTGTTGAGATCCACTCCTTTTCTTATGTGCTCAGTCATGTTACCGCTGTGTTACCCTGGCGTCGATTTAATTATCTCCTTATCTGCTGTTTGTTTCTAGTCAACTTCAATGCGTTTTTGTGAAGATCATTTCATTGCTGTTTTATCGTCACTCTTAAACCGTATTCATATCTCATTAGAACTTGAGACTTCCGCCTCGAACTGTTTTCAGTCTTGTTGATTTATAAGCAAGAAAATGAATGTTTGCTTATGTGGCAGCCCTGATGAAACGAGTTCCGTTTGGCCTGCAGAGGAGACTCCCCATGTTTACCATGTTCTAGCACCAACGTTTAAAGACGCGATACATGGACGGACAAATCTCATAAGTTAGTAGTTGGCAGACTGTGGTCCTCGTGACAATATTCCGCTTTTGTTTTAGTACTGACATATACCCTCAATATAGTCTGTTTAAGCATTGCAACAGCTCTCTGCGCACTGGAGATCAAGGAGAAAGAGAAGAGAAAGTTTTTGTGTGTGTTTGAAGCTCTCGAGGCAGTGCCTGCTCGTCCTTCGGGTATATGTACTTTAAAAGAAGGGTAACGCGTTGGGAAGTGAGGAAGGTAACAAACAAAACAAACTCCATGGCCTGTAGTCCGCAAGCAAACTGTGCCGACCGAGCGACCGCCGCTTGTCAGCGAAATTAGTGCTAACTTTTGCGGATAGAGGGTGTCGCGTGGTCAGCGCAACGGATCCCCACGGCCTTTAATCTCGGTTTTCTAGGCCGGAACCGTTATTTCCTTGAAATAGCTCCTTAATTATCCTCACGAGGCTGAGTGGACTCTGTTCCAGACCCACTATTTCTCAGAAAATCTGGTAGAGCTGGGAATCGAACCCGGGACCTCTAGACCACAGAGGCTGTCGTGAGGAAGGTAAAGTGTCAGGAAGTTGATCCGCAGTGTTTTACATGTTGAAGAAGGTGGCACATATGGTTACCCTGGTTAACTGTCTCGTGTTTCTGCTGCAGTTAGCGGCGCTCAGTGGCGGTTGCAGCTGGAAGGCTTCTTGTGCCACTAGTTCTGTGTGACTTAAGATTAAGAACACGAGACAACTGTCAGTTGTTTGTTGTATGGAGCGATATAAACAAGAATTGTAACAGGGACTTTATGTACGTCACGTCTCAATAGAAACAGGCTGACCACACGCGGCTGTTGTTGCAGCGTTCTTCGCGATGGGAGTAAGAGCGGCACAAGTGACAAAGTTCGCATTACGGCTGCTTTAACACCAAAATTAGAGCCTGTCTGGACGGAGTGTTGGCGAAGAGGAAAATATTTGTCCTCTCCCTGCATTCGAACCCAGTCGTTGAACCAGCAGCCTGTCGTGTTTACTCTTTACAATTTATAGCGGTAACTATGGGCACCACCTGTTCTAGAATCACAAAAACTCTGCATTTTTCCACACAGCATATTTATTTGTTGCATATCGTTTTCAGAATAAACCGCGACTATTTCCTCAAACAGCAGTAACCGGTTGGTCTTTGTAGCGGAGACGTAATGTTTCCTGTGAGGTACGAACTGACACTTTATATACCTACACTGTTGTGTCGAAGTTCAGGCTTCAGAGGGTTAAGTGACCGACTTTTAAGATGCGGATGCTTAATATTCTCCACGGTTTCAGTCCGAAGTCAAGGGACTCGCTAATATTCAGGAAATGTCTGCTGTACCAAGGCCGTTGCTACGGAACTGCTCAAGTAAAATGAAGCGTGAAGGACCTATACTTAACGAAATTCCTCTTTTCGGCTCAAATTCA